TTCTCTGATGACTAAGGATGTTGAACATTTCCTTAAGTGTCTTTCAGACATTTTAGATTCCTCTGTTGAGAGTTCTTTGTTTAGGTCTGTACTCCATTTTTTTAATTGAATTATGTGATCTTTTGGTATCCAATTTCTTGAGTTCTTTGTATATTTTGGAGATCAGCCCTCTGTCTAATGTGGGGTTAGTGAAGATCTTTTCCCATTCTATAGGCTGTTGTTTTATCTTATTGACCGTGTCCTTTGCTTTACAGAAGCTTTTCAGTTTCAGGAGGTCCCATTTATTAATTATTTCTCTCAATGTCTGTGCTGCTGGGGTTCTATTTAGGAAGTGTTTCCTTGTGCCAATGTGTTCAAGTGTACTTCCCACTTTCTCTTCTATGAGGTTCAGTGTGGCTGGCTTTATGTTGCGGTCTTTGATCCATTTGGACTTTAGTTTTGTGTTTGGTGATAGATACGGGTCTATTTTCATTTTTCTACATGTCGATATCCAGTTATGCCAGCACCACTTGTTAAATATGCTTTCTTTTTTCCATTTGATATTTTTTGCTTCTTTAGATCAGGTGTTCAAAGATGTGTGGATTGATATCTGGGTCTTCTATTCAGTTCCTTTGGTCCTCCTGTCTGTTCTTATGACAGTACCAGGCTGTTTTCAGTACTGTAGCTCTGTGGTAATGTTTGAAGTCAGGGATTGTGATGCCTCCAGAAGTTCTTTTATTGCCCAGGATTGTTTTGGCTATCCTGGGTGTTTTGCTTTTTCATATGAAGTTGAGTACCATTCTTTCGAGATCTTTGACGAATTTTGCTGGAATTTTGATGGGCACAAACAAAATCTTTTTAAGAAGGAAGAATTGTAACAAGTTTTTCAAGAACAGTATTTCTTGAATCCTTTTTATTTCCTAAAATAGAAGTATCATCTAATATATATTGAATTATACCATTGTTTGTACCATTTTGGTGTTTTCTCAGGTGATGCTGGGGATCAATCACATTTGGACTAGCAGTTCTAGGCAGGTGTTCTAGCTTAGCGCTGCATCCATAGCCCCAAGTGTGTCTTTTGTGTACTTCTTAACATGTGCTGCCCCCCTTGCCTTTCTGCAGTGTCCTGATGAAGTCTTTAGATGTGGATCTCTCCTTCCCTCAGCCACCGCCAGGCTCCAGCTTCTTCAGTGGTACAAAGAGGGGTGCACTGTTTCTCACCTCATATCGGGTAATGTATAGTTTTCTTTTCATTGGCTGATTAGCTTACATTTGTTTTTCATGAAACTGAAAAAAGTTAAACATTGGCTTTTAAGGTGTTTTAAAACATTTTTACTTTGAGACTTCCATTTTGAAAAAGGATGGGAGAAAAGAAATGATGTTTCTCAATTAGGCCACACTACCCAAGTGACCTTGGCGTTGCTTCTGCAAGACTCTACCCATGGACAAATTCTGTATTCCTTTTCCAAAGTTTCCTTCCTCACTTAGGTGATTTTTGTGACTTCACGTTCAGACAATGATCCCATGTTGTCTTTTATGATGCCATTTCATCTAATGACTAACTGCACTGTTGAACAACCAATCTTTGGTGCAAACTACATTAAAGGGACAATTCAGGCAGCTCCAGACGGTAAGTTTTTCTTCTTAGAAGTGCCTCCCATATGCCCCCAAAAAGATGCTAGCAAGTTTAAGATTCTGACTTGCTTCATGTTAAGATTCAAGCCAAAGCCGAGCTGTGTGTATGAGGGTGCATTCCTCAGGGTCTGTGAGTGTTTGCCACTTCTCCCCCCAGGTGGCTGGGAAGGATCAGCTACTTTTAAAATGGCCTTCAGGAAAGGAGGTGCCATCGAGTTTGCCCAGCTGCTGGCCAAAGCCGCCTCTGCTGGTGAGTGATAACATAGTAGGCATTAAGGGATTGAAGTAGTGCTACTTCTTAGCAGAGCTGGCTAGCCTCTGCTCAGGCATTTGGCATTTCTACATGAATTCAGCAAGCATTTCCAGAGTTTACCTGTTATCTACACTGTATGTTTATTTACCTTGCCCTGTCCTGGGGTAGCTGGGAGCCTGTAGTCAAACACCTGTATGACTAACCTAAAACCAGTGGTCTTTTGTGCTACCTTCTGCATGGCTTGGTCCTAGAAACCTGACTGAAGTGACCTGGGAGTCAGGAACAGACACACTCTTCACACTCTTGTACAAAAAGCCTGAGACCAGGTGGGCTGTGCTCACCCAGATGGAGCAGCACCAGCATGCAGCTCAGAAACTCAGTGTCTATCTGAACAGCAGGAGGGAGAGGTCAGGTCTTCTTGGTAGGAAGTCTCTGTATGTGAGCCATCTTAGGCTGTGACCAACGGGGCGAGGAAGTTTCAGTAAATGCTTCTCTACAGTCTTGTCAATATTTGTATTTGGGCCAGAGGAAATCCTTGCCAATTCCCTGAGCTCAACCTGGGGAAGGCTTTGTCACCTGCATTTTGATCTCACCTTGGCCTTGCCCTTGTTTCTCTTCTGTTTGCTCTTATTGTCCATGAGAGGGGAATAGGGTCCCTGCTGTCCTACAATGTTGACCTAATGGCTGTACTGGAGAATGCTTTCTGTAATTGAAATATTTGTTTCTACTGCTTTTATCCAACCTGACTTCACTTCCTGCCACCCACACTCTTACAATCCAGTCAAACTGCACTTTGTTGTACCTTACCCACTCTTCTCCTGAGTTGTCATTTTGTTTAGTCAGGCTTTTTCCTCTCTCTCTCTCTCTCTCTCTCTCTCTCTCTCTCTCTCTCTCGTGACAGCATGCCCCTGTAGTTCTGGAGTCTGTACTGGAACTAGCTATTGTAGACCATGTTGGCCTCGAACTCACAGAGATCCACCTGCCTCTGCTCCCGAACGCTGGGATTAAAGGTGTGTGCTACAACTGCCCGCCCCTTTCTTTTTTGTTGTCTACCTCAAGCCACAATCTAGATGTTGAAAACACAGCCTAGTAAAGATGGCCATTTGCAGATACATATACATTTGCTTTAATAGAAACATTGACTATGGTGCCCCAGACACAATGGAAGAGTATAAAGTATCTAGGTTAGTACAGTGAATGAACTATGATGCTGTATATATGGTCAAGACCTATAATCAGTGTAAGTTTGAAAATAAATGAGTTTAGTTTAAAATCATGTAATTTAGTTAGCACTTTTTAAGTGTTTTCTATACTGGACAGTATCCTATGCCCTTTGCAACCATCAGTTTAATGCTCATAAAATCTTATGATATAACTGGGCAGTGGTGACATATACATGATATATATGTGATATATATATATATCATATACATGCCATATAGTTTTATATACATATGCTAATATTATGCTCATTTGATAGCTGGGAAATCAAGTAAGTGATGGTTGTATAGTAAGTACTATTATTAGGTCCTAAATAGCCATAGATAATGAGACAAAATTTCTGCTCTCAAGAAGTATGTGGTTTAAGAAAAGGGCCACATGTATTTTTACTTAGTATCACAGAGTATTGTTGACTCTCATGTAAGGTGGTAATTAATACTGTTAGCTACTCAGTTCATAGCTGCTATATATCTAATTTAAAATAATAAAGAGTTCTTATTTTGCCAAATTATCTTCTCAGCTGCCCAAGGAACTCCACTCACAGTTTCAAGTTTCTGGATGAGTCCTTTAGGAATCATTGTCATAGCTGGGGAGAGGAGCACGTGTGCCCCACGGGCATACCAAGGTGAAGTGTGGGGAGAGGGACATGTGTGCCCCACAGGCATGCCAAGGTGAGGTCAAAAGCACATTCCTAGAGCAAGTGACAAGGAGCTGAGTCATCTACCGTGGCAACACAAGGGCCCAAGGTTACAGGACTAAGACTGTGACCAGAGGCCAGTGGGTACAGTGCCCAGTGAGATATGCTTTGAGACATAGGTCTGTTGTTAACAGGCTGGCAGGCAAAGAATTGGCATGCTCTTCTTAGGGTGCTTTGTGTAGTAACCTTGGTTGGACATCTGCAACTCTAGGTCTACATACTGAGTTCCAGGAGAGTCACTACAATATAGAAACACCCCCCATCTCTCTCTCTCTCTCTCTCTCTCTCTCTCTCTCTCTCTCTCTATATATATATATATATATATATATATGTATGTATGTATGTATATATGTATATGTATATATGTATATGTATATATTAAGGAGCCTTTGACGTCAGACCCAAACTCCAAACTTCAGGGTGCAGAAAATGAAATGTTGGTTCTTTTCCAGAGTTCCCATCTCTCTGCTACTGTAATGAAATATCTGAGACAATTATTGAAAAAAAAAGGTTTTATTATTATTTTGAGACAGGACCTCAAGTAGTCCAGACTGATCTCCAACTCACTCAGTAGTTGAGGATGCCCTTGAACTTCTGATTCTCCTACCTCTTACTCCCAAGTATGGGAATTATAGCTATCCAATAGCATACCTAGTTTTTATTTTGTTTTAAGACAAGGTCTCACACTGTGGTTTAAACTGGCCCGAAATTTATTATGTAGACCAGGTTGGCTTTGAACTGTGACAGTCCTCCTTGCCTCTGCCTTAACTGGTGCTGGGGTTATGGACGTCAACTTGTAGGTTTTTATGTGTGTGTGTGCATGCATGCGTGCACGTGTGTGCGTGTTATGGCATTCATGTGGAAGTCAGAGGACAATTGTGGGAGTCAGTTCACTCTTTCACTATGTGGGTCCCAGGAATTGAGCATAGGTTGTTTGGCTTGGTGGTATGTGCCTTTGTCTACTGAGCCATCTTGCTGGCTTTTTGTTTTTATTTTTGTTGTTGTATGGGTTTTTGTGATTTTTATTGTTTTTTTCTTTTCTTTTTTGAGGTAGGGTCTTATATAGCCTTACTTACTATGTAAACAAAACTGGCTTTAAATTCAAAGACTTGCTGCCTTTGCCTCGGGATTAAGATGTGTACCACAATTCCCAGCTGTCCTTTTTCAGCACCTCCTGATGCTGCACTGAGTCTCACGCAGTGTTGAGACTATGTGTATGTAAAACTGCATCTGGATGTCTTTGGCTTTTTATTGAATTCTAGTCATGAAATATTAAATTATAGAGCCAGATTGTAGGGTTTTGGTGTGAGGAGTGACTTTAGTTTGCTCTGGGTATAGGTAACAGGGACTTTAGTTTCTTCTTGTCTCCTTTCCCCTTCTCCGTTGTCTTTGCCTTTCCATAGTAAATGAAGCATGGGTTCTCATTTTCCTTACTAGTAACCATTGTTTTACTGAAGTCCAGTTGCTGGCCTGTGTGTCCCCCATCTCTTCAGCGCATTTCTTTTTTAAATTGTAGTGAGGATAGAAATGACAATTTCTAAGCTCTTTTTTGTTTGTGTTTAGTTGGTTGGGTTTTTTTTTTGTTTTTTGTGTTTTTTTGTTTTTCTTATTTTTCAAGGCAGGGTGTGTGTGTGGCCCTGACCTCGAACTCACAGAGATCCTACTGCCTCTACCTTTTGAGTCCTGGGATTAAAGTCATGCACCACCACACCTGCTTTTGTATTGGAGCTTACTGGAGGCAGAGGCAGATGGATTTCTGTGAATTTGATGCCATCCTGGTCTACATAGTGAGTTCTAGGACAGCCAGGGCTATGTAGAGATCCTGTCTCAAAACAAACAAACAAACAAGAAAACAACAAAAAGCCCAAATAAAATAAATAAAAAAGTTTTCTGGCTTTAATATGGTTGTGAACACCTTTAATCCCAGCACTCAGGAAGCAGAGGCAGGTGGATCTCTGTGAGTTCGAGGATAGGAAGGTCTACAGAGTGAGTTCCAGGACAGCCAAGGCTACATAAAGATACCCTTGAAAAACCAAAAAAATAAAAAAATAAAAACGAACTATATTTGATGTTGCTTTCCAGCCTCCACATTTGTGGTGTACATATATAATGCACATATTTAACTACACAACTACACACACATGATTACTGTACACATATGTATACCACACAGAAATTTAAATGAAACAAAACTTTTTCTTCTGTCTTTACATTTATTTTGTGTGCATATGTGCATGTGTGCACATGCTGTGACAGGAATGTGGAAGTCAGAAGACAATTTCAGGGATCAGCTTTCCTTTCACCATGTAGGTTCTGAGGATGAAGCTTCAGGTAGTCTGAGTGTTCATGGTGCTGGAAGGAAAAAGGTAATTTGTATCATCCGGCTATGTACCCTGTGCAGTCTACCTACAAGATAAACTAGTACAGTAGTGTCACAGATGTCATGGGAATAACTAACCACTTTTTATTGGTTTTAATATCCACTCTATTAAGGAACCATACCTGACACTGCTAAAGTGGCCAGGAACCTAAGACTAGATAGATCCTGAACCCAGAGGAAAAGCTAATACTGTTATTCTGCTAGAGGAACATAGCAACAAAATGAGACCTAGTGATATACTGACATACCTGTAGATCAGTGCATCATGTGGTCATTAAAGTAGATGGCAATTAGCACAGAGACCACAGCTGGATAAAATGCAGAGAGTGAGAGACTTTGGAGCACTCAGTCCTAAATGAGATGTTTCCATCAGTCCTGTCTTAGTTTTCTATTGCTGTGAAAAGACACCATGATCAAGGCAATTTATGAAATAAAGCATTAATCGAGAGCTTGCTTGCAGTTTCAGAGGCTGGATCCATACATGATCATTATGGCAAGGAGCATGGTGGCAGGCAGGCAGGCATGGTGCTAGAACAATAGCGAGGTTTTTTTTTTATACATAAGCAGACAGAGTAAGACAGGGCCTGGTATGGGCTTCTGAAACCTCAAGACCTACCCCCCAACGCTTTCAACAAGGCCACACCTCCTAATCCTTCCTAAACAGTCCAGAACTGGGGACCAAACATTCAGATTTATGAGCCTCTAGGGACCATTCTCATTCAAAAGACCACAAACCTCCTCCTCTCAAGGCTTAGGGATCCATGCAGAAGATGAGGCAGAAAGATTAAGAGCCAAAGATGATAGATTCCAAGGAAGCAGTGTCTTCTAGACACAACAGATGCACATAGCTCAAAAAGACAGAGGGCACATACAAGATCTTCACAAATTCAAACCAGACAAAATCCCAGCATGGAGAAGGGGAAGTGGACACAAAGTAGCTATTTCTAACGAATACCCTCTAGGAAAGGGAATATCAGCTTTCCCAAAGGAGTGTCTGGGTACATCAACCACACTGCAGGGCACACCCTGTGCTCAGGAGTAGCAGGCTAACACAAAATGGTTTTCGTTTTGTCTTAATGCTTTTGTTTGTTTCTACCTTTGTTTTTTGTTTTATGAGTTTAGGAGGAGAAAGGAAGAGAGAACATGAAGTAGGGAGGGAGGTGGGAAGATCTAGGAGGATTGGAGGAGGGAACTGGAGTTACAGATGGTTGTGCCATGTGGCTGCTGGTAACTGAACCGGGGTCCTCTGAAAGAGCAGCAGTGCTCTTAATTACTGAGCCATCCTTCCTTTAAAATTACATTTTTTTCTTCTGGTTTTCAAATTATGCTCCTCACTGAGGGTGTTTCCTTTTCATAAACTCAACAAACATTATCAAATAAAATGTATCAGCACAACTCTGAGTAATGACCAGTTAACTAGAAGGGTATTTTCAGGTAATTCAGATCACCTTACCAGAAAAAACGATAAGGCTTTTGTCTGGTGATGACTAAAAGAAAGGTTTTAACTTGACTAAGTTCTCCTGTGTGAGTTTCCCGTGGTATTATCTTTTATGGTCTTCAGTTAGTCTTTGTTCACAGGGTAACAATTTTTTCCCTTCTTTTTGCCATTCCCAGCTGCCTATGGGGTCCCACCTGCGGGACACGGAGCCCCACCTCCCAGATATGATGTCCTGCCTCCTGGATATGGAACTAGGATGTATGGATCCCCTCCTCCTCTATATGGAGCTACCCCTGTGGGCTATGGAGTCCTGTCTCCTGGATATGAAGCCCCCACTATGGAGTACGGAGTCCCACCTCCCAGATATGGAGTCCCACCTCCCAGATACGGAACTACAGCTGTGGTGTCTGGTTCTCCACCTCCCAGATATGAAGCCCCACCTGTGGGTTATGAGACTTTGCCACCTGCTCAGTTGGAAGCAGGGTATCCCATTTCTGTGGCAGGCCAGGCTCCTGGATTCCAGACATCTTTTCCCTCTACCTCATCTTCACAAGCTCATTCTCCCCCCGTCTAAGATGTAAACCTTGAAGTTTCACCAAGCAAATCTGCACACTAGCATTGAAGTCAAGAAAGAACATTAGGTATATGATCCCAGCCTCATCCTAGTCGTTGGTCCCTCACCTTGGAAGTTCAGTCATAGGGCAGAACTAAGCTTATCTCCATGCCTTGATTTTAAAAGCAGTGTCACTCTTGATTAGCTGGATAAGGGAGTAGTAGGCTAATTCCCTAATGACTTGGTTGACATTGGATGCATTTTAAAACATATCTTGATGTGAGCTTGCAAAAAGCCTCCCACATTTCTCCTCATCTGCATTAGAAAACTTTTATAGTACTCTATTTGGTAGATACTAAGATCTGCTAAAATGTCGCCTTTGAGAGCTGGGCCTGGTGGTGTGGGTTTATAGAGGATGAAACAGAAGGATGATAAGTTCAAGGCTTGCCTGGCCTGCAGAGTCAAGGCCAGCCTGGGCAGCCGAGTGAGAGCCTGTCTCAAAGACGATAAAAAGGGCTGGGGATAGAGCTCAGCTGTAGTGTGCTTGCCTAATATGCTGACGGTTCTAGGTTTAATCCCCAGTACCAAAATTAATTGATTAATTGAAAATGCAGGTGTCAGGCATGGGTGCACATGCCTGTAATCCCAGCACTTGAGAGGAAGAGTCAAGAGGTTCAGAAGTTCAGGATCATCTCTGACTATGTAGGGAGTTAAATGTCAGCCTAGGCTACTTTAGAACCCACCTCAAGACCGGGCGGTGATGGTGCACACCTTTAATCCCAGCACTCAGAGGCAGAGGCAGGAGGAGCTCTGTGAGTTTGAGGCCAGCCTGGTCTACAAGAGCTAGTTCCAGGACAGGCTCCAAAGCTACAGAGAAACCTTGTTTCGAAAAAACAAAAAACAAACAAAACAAACAAAACCCCCCAAAAGAACTCACCTCAAAAACAAAATCAAAACCTCATCACATTGAACACAGTTGTTTCTTACAGTATTATTTACATTAGAGAAAGAATGGAACAACCTTAATTTCCAGTGAGAGGGATCTTATGAATTACACCATATTCATATAATAGAATAGAATACATAGATGTTATAGGGAAGGCAGCCTTTAGGAACAAAATAAAGCAATAAGGGAAAAAGGACCAAAGCAACCTACTGGGAGGGAGTATGTATGTTCATCCAAAAAGTCTACAGTCAGAATATGCAAAGAGCTAGAAAAAGAAACAGGGATCAGGGGAGATGACTCAGTTGCTCATGTGCTTGCCACAGCATGAGGGCCTGCCATTGATCACTAGCACTCAAGAAGCACACACATGTAACTCCAGTCCTGGGGTGGAGGGTGCGGGGACAAGATCCTTGGGGCTTGCTGACCAGCAGTCAGACTGAATCAGTGAGCCCCTGGGCCAGAGACCGTATTTTAAATAAGCAGAGAGTAATTGAGGAATATGCCCAACACTGACCTCTGACCTCATCATACCCATGCACATATAGGCATGCACATCTGTACACACAATTTAACTTTAAAAGGAAATGTATAAAATATGTGAATTACCAATTAACAACTGAAGCAATAATGACTGTGCCAGTAACATTTATGACAAAATACTTAAAAAGATGTGTGACTCAGATAGTTGGGAGGCTTGACTGGAATAAAACCTTTCCAGATATTGAATGGGTTTGCTCCTGCACTGCTGAGGATGGAAGCCAGGGCCGTGCACACACCGGCAAGTGCTCTACCACTAGATACCTTCTCTGCCCCTACTAGAATCTTTGCTACAGCAGCTCCTATTCTAGTGTCTACCCCTACAGGATACTTGCACATGCCCACAAAGATGCATATGGAAAGGTTCTGTTGTGTTCTTTGTTTCCAGTAGCACAAAATTAGAAATAACTTACATGATGTTTAATTTCTTTTTTGTTGTTTTGTTTTTGAGACAGGGTTTCTCTGCGTTGCCCTGGTTGTCCTGAAACTCACTCTATAGACCAGGCTGGCCTTGAACTCACAGAGATCCTCCTGCCTCTGCCCCTCCCCCACCCAGTGTTGGGATTAAAGGTGTGTGCCACCAATGTCCCTGGCCAATGATGGTTAATTTCTCTGGTCAACTTGATCATTAAGAAACACCTGAGCATTACTGGAACACACCTGTGGGTGTGTCTGTGAGGGTGCTTCCAAAGGTTTAACTGAGAAAAAGACTGAATGTGATCAACACTGTCGCATGTGCTGTTGGACTCTAGTGTCCAAACCAAGAAGGAGTCGCCCCCAGAGACCACCTCATATACCACAGCCGATGCAAAAGCATGAGGATTTTATTAATTCTGTCATGACAGGGTCCCTCAGCAGTCGGGAAGCCAAGAGACCCCGACTAGCTGGTACAGTCTACTTTTAAAGGAGAAGGCCCCATAGAAACAAGAGGGGTTGTTCCTTGACCATTATGATTGGCTTATTCTAAAAGGGCTAATACCAATAATTGACTGGAGAACTATTGTCAGGTCAGATGAGGTGAGAGGTCATTTTGATCCCATTTCCCAGGGGACTGAGTCAAAACATACATGTATGGGTAATTGTTCGGGAACTGAGTACGTGCATGTGTAGCTGTTAGGTCCTTGGTTCCCAGGGGAGGAGGGGAAGCACTAAGGCATGGAGGCTGACAGGGTTTGGAATTGTCAGAAATGGCTTCAGAATTGTCTTAAAGTCTTACATTCCCTCCTCTTATTTGGTCAAATATCTCAATCTTGAGATATTAGTAAATTTGGGAGACTGATTGGATCTGTACACAGAAATTAACAAACCAGTGTTGTAGGCCCATCATAGATCAATAGAGGGCATCAGATCCTGTCGTCCTAGGACTTGGGAGAGTTAAGTTTGTCCCCAATTACAGGACGTATGAGAGGTGACATGGTTGAAACTGCCAGATGAGGCTCTTTCCTCATAATAGGGAGGTCCTGCTGACAGGCATAGCCAGCAAGATTGTATCAAGCTGGGGTCAGTACTATTTAGCAAAGAAAAAGGCTCCCATTACAGTTGCTGGCCTGTATTAAAGGTTGCCAGCGGTAAAGCAGGGGTTGCAAAAGGGTTCTTAGCATTAGGAGTGGGGCCCAGGGCCCTGGCAAGGGGGGCTACCTCGGCAGGGGCTAGCTGGCCCTGGTCAGGCAATACTGGGTTGGGCTCTAGTACTGTGGTCATGGGAGGGGTTACAACAACTCGCAGGGTGAACAGAATTCCTATGTCTTTTCTTCCTGGATCATACAACCGTAAACCCCAAGTATTGCCTGTTAATCAGTTAGCTTTTTTTCCTCCTCAGTGAAAGAGATTGTGATTTCAGATTTTCCTGGTGTGGTACGAGTGAAAGAGACTAAGTCCTTTTTGCTAACCCCCAACCAGGAGACATTGACATTGGTTTTACATCCCCAGACAGCATAACAAAATATTTAAGCCCTGCCCCCCCTGGACAAATATATAATTTAGAATATTTGCATGCAGGATAAGAGTTTCCAGGGGTTTGCTCAGTATTCTCTCAAGAGTCGTTTGCTAAAACACATAGGTCAAAAGTTAGCCGGGGGAACCAAGTATTCAGGGGATGAACTCCAGTGGCTAGCCTTAAGGCTTGCCCAGTCTCAAAGTTAGTCAGGGTCCAGGTTAAGTCCTAAGGTATAAACATCAGGGCAAAGATCAGCAAGCTTGGCAGAATCAGGCCTCCTTGAGAGGATTTTGGGTATGCTGAAGCTTTCATTTGGAAGGTCCTGGGTCGTCCTGTGGAGGTACAGGCTTGACATGAGACGCGTGGATCCAGGCTGCAATACCGTCCATTTTGAGGGCAGTAGGTGTCTTAAGAAGCATGGTGTAGGGTCCCTTCCAGCGAGGTTCAAGGTTCTGGGACCGGTGTCTCCAAACGTACACAGAATCGCCAACCTGGAAGGGGTGTGAGATTTCCGGATGCCCGGGCTGGCGTTGGGAGGTTCCGACAGAGAAGCAGGGAGAGTAGCTTAGTCCAGCGGGCAGCAGCAGGACTAATTAGGGCCTCTTTGTGGGGGGGGTCTAATCTGCTTGGCAGCAGCAGGCCCTGGTCAGATAGTACTTGGTTTTAAATATCATCTCGTGTCCCAAGTCCTTCCCGACACCCATGGAGACAGTTCCATTGATTGCCCCTGGGAGACAAGTGGGGGAGATGTCATATGTCCCTGAGCTCCACATGGAGCATTGTAATTTTATATTTTCAGGCATCACAGTATAAAAATCTAGCTTTCCCAAGTGGCATCTGTGTTCTGGATCCCCCCACCCGAATATTTCCTCCAGGGGAAAATCTTCTGCCAGCCTCCAGGGGCAGCTGTGGGGGATATGCATCTCGGATATCCCAGGAGGCTAGCCCTGCTACTAGTTGACAGAAATCAGGGGTGAGGGCAGGGGTATCAAAGCAAGGGCTTGAGGAGACATGGATTGCAGGTATGAGCAGGCGGCTGCTGTTCTGGCTGTGAGGTGCTGCGCTTTTCTCATGTCCCTCCGGATATATCCCAGGCGTCAATTCTGGAACAAATGCGAGATTTCCGAGTGTCAGGGTGGTCAGGAGTCTCTATGCCTGGGGCTTGGAGATCTGGAGAGCCTTCAACCGCGCCTGCAGAATGGGATTGTGAGCAGATGGGTCATGAGGGGGTCTTAGGAAGCCAAGGGGTGGGGGAGGTTCCCTATATTGGATCTACATAGAACAGGGCTAGGGGGAGGAGCTGTGCTCAGTCTCCAATGCCAGTTCTAAGGCTTAATTTGTTTTAGGGTCTTTATTATTTATTTTTTACCTGTCCTGAACTCTGGGGTCTGTATGAATAATGTAATTTTCCCCAGTCTTATCCATGTCCTGACTTTTCTGGGCAACAAGGTAGTTTTACCATTAATTCCGATTACCTTGGGCAGGCCAAACCTCGGGAAGATTTCTTCTTTGATCTTCTTAGTCATGGTGAGAAAAAGTTTCTCTGCCATCCGTAGTTCGTATCAAAAGGCCGATGTACCTTTAAGAAGACTGTTAGTTCCGTGTCCCCCGCCCCTCCTCATCGGGGTGGCACAAGTTGTTGCCTCTCTGAAGCCCACCTCCATTGACTAGGAGGCTTGCGTTTATTCGACTCCTCCTGCTCAGTCCGGTGACAGAGGGGTCGTTGCCCGCAGAGGCGCTGGCTCCTCGGCCTTTTCCCGGCTGGGGACTCTGGCTGCTATTCCTTGCCCCTCTTTGCTGTGCCGCTCTG